ACAGCAGCCAGCTCTATAAAGCCCAGCAGCGATGCTGTGCCCTCTGTGGACTGCAGGGAGCAGCCTCTGGTCCTACACACCTTATGCTGGGGGGGTGTTTGAGACCTCTGGGGTGGCAGCTAGTCAAAGCCAGGCAGGATGGAGCCAGCCTCGCAGAGGCTGCAGGGCCACGCACAGTGAGTGCAGTTTTGGTCCTCTCTTTTGAACAAATGCTTTTCCCTCCCTGTGAACCCAGAGGTACCATCCCTGGCCCTTGTGGTCCCTGAGGATTTCCTCTGTGACACAGCAGAACAGAGGAAGGCACCCCTCACTCTAAGAAGCCTGCCTGGGTGTGCATCTTGTGAGGAGCTCAGTCCTCAGTATGAAACAGCAAGCTGATAATAAATATTCAACTTATTTAGAATTGCAGATACCAGGAGAAGGAAACCAGTAAACAAAAGAGGCCGCAATCAGCATTCTGGCTAAAAATCAGGAATGCCGAACTGAAGGGATAGATACAGGAGGAACAGAAGGTGGTGAGTGGCCAGCCAGGCCTTTGAGCTAGCAATTAAATCAAATTCAAGTCTGGGAAAGCAAAAACTCAAAAGGAAGCTGCTTAAGCTAGGCTCTTCTTAATGAGAGACAAATACTCTAGAAAATATTGCCTGCTAACAGTATTCATAAGCTGCTCCCAAGATGTTTTGATTGAACCACTGTTGTCTTTCTAGTGTACTAATGGTTTTTAATCTCTCTTGATGCCTTGGGGCAAAGAGGTCTACTGATTCACAGCAGCTTCGTGAGCTGAAACTTGTCCCTGGTGAATGCATCTCTCATGCCAGAATCACAGCTTTTAAAAATGTGAGTTTTCAGCAAAGGGAGAACCCTTAGCATGTGAGCAGGGTGGAACTACCGTGATGCCACGTGCCTGAATAGAAAGGGAGCTCCTCTGGGGGAGACACGTACTTCTTCCTCTTCTCCTTAGGGTATGCTGAATTACAATGCCAGCACTATTTTACTGATGGTCAAAACCTAATTGCACTTTCCCGCCTGGCTAACGTGGCCGGGAGAAGCGGAGTGCCATGTGTCCTGCTAGTCCCATGCTGACCTGCCAGAGGTGGGCACAGACCTGCAGGGTTGCACAAGGCAACTGACAAAGGAAAGGCAAGCCTCATCTTGGGAGGGCTTCACATCTCTCCAACAGCGATAGGGAGTGATGCTGCGGGACTGATGCTACCCCTGGCCTTGTGCAAGGCTTTTCCTAAGTGGAGGAGGTCTGCCGTGCTCATCAAGGCACTGGGAGCAGTGGCACTGACTGGGGAAGTGTGGGAATGCAGTCACAACTGTGCCACAGTTGGGATCACTGTGAAAGTGAACTGTGGTTGTTGAACACAGGCTTTGAGCTTATTCCTCCCTTTTAGACTTCCCTTTTTGCTGGCAGTTATGGAATGAACCTAAGTGAGTCTTTACAGGACTTCTTGTGTCTTAGGAGTTTGGCTTCATCTTCCCTGTGAACATCATGTGGTTGTGCCAGCCAGCTGGTTCATGAGCAGTGTCAGACTAGTGCATTTTTTAGTTAGGAGATGGGGCATAAGAGGGTTGATTTCTGGTGTTCAGTGGCTCTCATGTCACACAAAACTTCCAGGAGATGAGGGCAGTTAGTTGGGTTTGATTCCTGAGAATCACTGTCCTCAAACTGGGAAAGCAATCTTTTTCATGCCCTAAAACCGTGCTCTGGGCTTATACCAAATTCAAAGCACACCCGGGAAGCAGTGTCTTTTTGGTGCTCAGCCTCCTGCAGTGGTGTCCATACCTCCCTCCTTTTTATATCCCCCCCATCTTATATTCAGCATGCCTGGCCACCCTGCCTGACACGTTGCTCCACTGATAGTGGGCAGCCAGTGCTTGCTACCAGCCATGACCCCTCCTTCCTAACTAATTCGAAAGCCCACAGCCACCTTACTGTTCCAACTCCATGCAACTTTCTGGCTCTTCAGTTTCTTTCCACCAGCCTCATGTTAAAAGGATTTTACAGGAAAAAGGCCAGGAATGGGCTGGGAAGGGAGGACAGGCTTTTCTGTCAGCAGGTACAAGAGGAAAGCGCTGCCTGGCAGGGACTTGCACAGCACATGCTGTTTGCTCACCTCCTGCCTCCTGTCTGGGCGAGGCACCAGGGAGCATCCCTGATGAGAGCAGACAGTTCTTTTGTCCTCTGGGTACAGTAGCTGCTTGTTGCTTGTGGAGAATGAAAACATATTAAAGTACAAAACTGCTGCACTAGTCATTTTCCAATTCCCCACTTGGAGAACTGGCTTCCCTGGAAAATAGGTCACTTACATAAAAAGCACCTTATTATCACAGCACAGCAGTGAAGGAAGAGATGGCTTGAGAGACACTTTCATTCTGAGCCCGTGTTCTTGGGTACTTAGATATTTCTGGAAAATCGACCCTTTGGGCTGCAATTTCTTATGCTCATTTTCAGCCCGTAAGGTGAATTTCGGGACCTTGTTCCCTCCACTAAGCTAGATGAAGCTAGGGAAAAAAAATGTGTTACGTCTTAACCCTTGGGAGGGCAGTGCATTCAAAACCATTACTTTCTCTGGGGATTAGGGTGGGACATTATTCCTGATATTATAGCAAAGGTGGGGAAGACTCCCAGAGACAAGTAAACTTGAGTCCTCTCACCTCCTCCTGCAGTAGCCACCTGCCTCCCACCCACCCCAGGTATTCATTTGCTTTTCTCTTCTTACTTGTAGTTGTGCTTAGCTCTCCCCAGGATGGGAAACAGTCATTGAAGGGCAACTGGAGGAGGAAGGATGGGGAGAAGAGCTCATGCTGGGCATGGGAGTGCTTGAGGTGTGGAAAGGGGCAAAGGGACCGTAGGGACTTGCCCTTGTGAGGAGGGGAGAAAATATCCAATTTTAGGTAAAGGCACCAGAGCTGAGAGAGGGGAAATATAGGTGCATGGAGAGAAAGGAGGGACTCACTGAGGATAAGTGTGGCTGGCCTTGGAGTCAGGTCATCTTGAGAAGGAAAAGGGAGATCTGTGGTAAACAGCTTTGGATTGGCTCACTTCGAAGGAGTGGCAATAGCCAAATGAGCAGTGCTCCTCTGAAAGAAAGGAGCTCTGCCTTTGGGCAACAGGCTGACTGAGACTCCAAAAGGCAATACCCACCTCCTTGGTCCTTGGTTGAGTGCCATATTGTGCCTCTGTTTCAATGGGGAGATTGAAGTGCTGTAAACCTGACAAAAGAAAGCACAGAGAGTTTCCTCAGCCTTTCCATTTTAATGTTGCTGACTCCAGCCTTGGCCAGCATCTGTTTCCCCTCACTGTGCTGCTCAGGCTATGGAAGAAGGCATCTTCCTGGGCAGACTTGTACTGAGCTAGGCAAGCAGAAAGGGGCCAGGGTGCAAGAGAGCCCCCAGAAGAGGAGGATGAGGAGTGGAAAGTTGAAGGGGAGGGGGATGGAGGAGGACGGGAAGGAGAGAATGCAGTAACATCAGCCGATGGGATGGGAAGACTGAGGGTAACAGCACAGTGAGAAGCCTGTGGAGACTTGGAAGCTGGAGAGGGCAGATGGAGAACAGGCCAACCAAAGAGCAGTTTGCTGGCCTCATACCCTTACCAGAGCTGGCACAATGTGGACAGCATGGCCTCAAATAGTGGGGGGCATCCCTGCCACTGACACCACTGCGAGGGCTGGGGGCAGAGGGCCTGGTGTCCTGGCACACAGGAGGTGCTTTCAAAATGTATTAGCAATTACCTCTGCAGCAGCAGCAGCCAGAGAGTGGGAGTAATTTACATAGTAAGAGCTGGGAGATAGATGGCTCTTTAAACCAGATCTGTCATTCCCAGCACTCTCTCCCATCTCAGATGCTTTGATGTTCCTCTTTGAAGAGCTCTCCTTGCTTGCTATTCCTCACTCCCTTGGTGCTGCTCCAGCTCTCCAAATGCCTTTCTCTGTCTTCCTGCCTGTGTGCCTTTGCTGCTGTGATGCTATGCCTGCGTCTCGGCAGGAAGGACACAGAGCAAGTGACAGCTGGCACCCTGAAAGCCAGTGCTGGCAGGACGCTGCAGGGAGGGAAAGCCAGCTTCAGCAGACACTGAGGTGTTTGTTCAACATGAGATCTAATGTACCATGAAGGAGGGCAATGTGAAACAACAGCAGTAATGTCAGTCAGCTTTCAATCACTGTGTGGGCATCTGGTGGGGGGATCCAAGTGTTCAACCCAAAGGTAGAAAAAGATGGAGGCGAGCGGGGGACTGGAGCCCAGAAGCTCCTTGTTCCACAGCCCTTCAAGGGCAGTGTGGGCTTGCAGTATTTCAGTGTGAATGGCATTTCTTCCATCACCTGTGTCCCTTGTAGGTTCAAGCCCCTGGAAAGGGAATGAAAAGAAGAATAAACTAGTGAGAAAAATGTTTTTGGGTGGTTGAAGTTTTGAGAGGGCTGGGTGAAACAGGACAGAGGCTCTTCTGAGCAGCAGTGGCCATCAAGAAGCCTGCCACAGCAGCAAAGACCAGATCAGAGGACCCCATCTGTGAATGAGGCATAGAGGAACAGAGAGGGGCAGATGAGTTAGAAGAAGTAAGTTTTATAGATGTCAAACTAAAGGCTAAGTATAGCATGGGAGACCACACAGCTAGAGAGGATAAGCCTGTGCTGAAACTATGGCCTTGTCTATACACAGTGGTTTTACCAATACTAAGGTGTAGCTACTCAGGTGGGGTTTTACCTTGCTGCAACACACCTGCTGTCCTGAGCTCTTACATCCCAGGGTGCCAGTGACTGAGGGTTTGGGGTTCTTCAGTTTTGCAAAAAACCCTTGACAAGCTGCTTAAGCTAAACAGCAATGTGTACCCATTTTTGTCTGTATGGGTTCTTATTAAGCAGTAAAAGTTGAAAGAGGTAACAGCAGTGCTTTCATTTCACCACTTATGTTGGTGAAGAGGTAAAGAGGCCTCAGTATAACTCTTTTCACATATATGTGTGAACTTTGTAACCCAATGGTGTGTTACATCTCAGGATTGTCTTAATGGGTGGAGCTGGAGAGCAAACTCTCACAGAAGCATGGATATACACAAATGTCCTGCTGCTGGATGTCTACCTTGTAAGGTATTTTGAAGGGTTCATGCTTTTGAAATAAAAATGATTGCTGCGTATGTCCTGTACATGCAGAAATAGAATCATAGAATGGTTAGGGTTGGAAAGGACCTTAAGATCATCAAGTTCCAACTTTTAGAGGTACTTAGGTCTGTGTTGTCTTTGAGAGCTGCACTTGTATTTTGGCCCCAGGTTCCATAGCCAAGAGCTGTGAAGCAGCTGTTTTGACTGCAGGGACTAAGCAAGAGTTTCTCTTTCTAGTGCCAATTGGGCAGTGCCAATCAGACAGTGCCAATCTAGCCCAAATATCCACCTGCTTTGGAGCACATGTGTCCCTGCATTCCTGTCACGAACCTCAGTCCGTTTTGGCAACACAGCCCAAATTTCCCAAAGTGGGCTCTGTCTTTTAAGGGTCACTTTGAAATGCACATAAAGACCTGAGTTTTTTGAGTTCCTGAGACAGGACAAAGAGCTAAGTAGCTCTCAAAAATAAATGCACCCCTAGCAGATGAATTGCCCTGAACTGCCTTTGGAAACACTGGGCAGCATCAGGAAAAGTTGTTGTGTATAGACTGCAGTTTATAAGCAAGGACCTCAGCCCTGCACAGGGGGCTTGGGAACACAGATCCCTCATGGTGAACATAGCCAGGTGGAAGCAGTCCATGTCTCATCTTCCCAGCCATGCTCACCAGTAGGACTTTGGTTTCTGCTCTCTGATGTAAGCAGCTTGATTGGTTTCAGTACACACTGGGTTCACCAGCTTGGAGGGATGAAACCGCAGCTCAGTTTGGATGCTCTGGTTATGTTCCCTGCTGTTAGCCATGCTGCAGGGTGCCATCGCTATTTCTCAGACCCAGGTTTGTGCAGTTTGATGGAAAGGCTGTGTTTGCAAATGCTGCAGAAGGGCTGTTTCCCCTTATGGATCTTTCCTCTGGCTGCCTTTTCAGGCTGCTTGACCACACATGGTTAGGCACAGTATAGCCAGTCACTGTGGAGGTCAGATATTGTGGTGGTTTGTGGAGGTGGGTGAGAAGCACAAGTATAACAATCAGCAGGCTTTGAGCTCTTTATATTTCCTTTTTGTTTCCTAAATAAGCACTGTTGCAAGAAAAGGGCATGGTGATTGTTCAGTCGTGTGACTGTCATTACACAAAACCCTGCCCATACTCAGGGGCTGCTTTAATCAAAAAACATGTCAGGTTTCACTTGCAGATTAGAGACCCTCTGTCTGTTGCTGGTACTTCGAATTAACTCCAGCCTGGCACCCAGGATAACCTGTTCTCCAGCAGATAGGTATCCATGTGGCAGAGCAGCCAGTAGCAGGGGATGTGCCACCTGGTTTGTCTCACACTAGCTGGTAGCCTCAGGATCCTGATTTCCTTTGCAGTGATGTTGGGATGTGATCAGGGCAGAATCTGGCCTCATTTTTTCACTCTGGGGAACATAGGCAAGCTGCAGCATCAGTAACAGAGCATCTCCTATTCCTATTGTGATGCCTTGGCGGAAAATGACATCATCTACATGCAGACTTGTGTTAGGAGCAGCGCTTCAGGGGACGATCATGGGGACACCATTTCTCCCTGCTGCGGCCTCATGTGGATCTCCCTGGTGAGGGGCTCATGGCAGCATGTCCAGTGAGCTTGTGGCACTAGGAGGGAGCTACAACACTGCTTCCTTCTTGCTTTTCTTATGGTTTTGCTGTGGTTTATTCCCTCTTTCCTTTGGGCTGCAGGACACCAGGGAGTCTTGCATGTGGTAGGAAATGAACCTCCATATCCTGGACTCCTAAAAGGCTCGTCCCTTCCTGATGTGTGCCCCATGCTTCGTGTGCCCACATTCACTCAAGCTGAGGTTAAGGAAGGGAGATGGCTTGCTATAAGCAGGTTGATAAAGGAAAAGGATTATCCTTCCTCTTGGGAGTATTAGTGAATAGACAGGCTGTGAGCACTGCCAAGTAGATCTACAATTTTTAGAGAAATGAGCTCTCAGACATTGTCACCTCCCTTTAATCTTCTCTTGCCTTTAGTGATTATTTTTTCCTTGGCCATTGCAGTCTATCTGACTAGCAATAAGTATGGCTTACTCTACTGTTCTGGCTCAACATTAACTGTTAATGATGTAAAGCTGTATTAAGCCTGAGCTACTCTGATTATCTCATTCGACATATCCCTTGATCACCATGGAACAAATTTCTCTGTAACAAGCTGTTGGTCAGTTGATTCATGACTGCTTTTTCTTCTTATAATTGTCTTGAAAAGAAATTTTTGAGCTGAAAACTGTAGCAGTGTGTGTTGCAGGAAGAAAAAATGCCTGAGACACACACTGACCTTCACTACACAAAGTGTATCCACAAAGCTTACCTTGTCTTTGGAGGTCATCCTGCATTTTCCGCAAGGATAGAAAGCTGGAACCCCAGTTGGCATGAATCAATGCAGCCTGCCTGAGAAGGGCTGAATTCTTCAGCTGGGAATTTGCTGAATAGTTTTTGTTAGAGGTCTATAAAATCAGATGTGGCACAGAGAGGGCAGGCAAGAAACATCCATTCACTAACTGTTTTCCTACAAGAGTAAAGGGTCACCAGCTGCTGTATGTTCAAAACAACAGGGAGCGATTCCTAGTACAAGGCAACATTTATCTTTCCACAGTATGCTATGGGTTTATGTTTCCATGGTTCAAAAAGCATTTAGACAAACTTATGGAAAAAAAAATATCCCTCCTAAGGCTATTAAACACAAGACGAACATGCCTTCTTGCCCAGAAAACCCCATTGCTGCTGTGGAGGAATATATTAAAAGGGGTATCTTGGGCTAGTTAGGGCACAGTATAGCAGGTTAGCGAAAACAGCGTAGGCCCTTAGTGTGTTGCAGAAGGTGACATAGTAAAATAAATAAGCTTCCTGCTCTTCCAGATTTTAGGATGATTTTATAAATAGACAATGGCACCATACAACTAAAGAGGCCAGAAATTTCCCTCCTGCTCTCTGAGATGCTCAGGCAAAGACCAGCCATGTTATTAGGGGCTAGTCCATCACCACAGACCTGGGAGGGCATCCCTGGCCACAGTGAGTATTTCTTGCAGCCTTGCTGAGGAGATGAGATTCAAGCCATCCAGACTCCCCCAGTTCCTTCTGGGAGAGGACAGCAGGAGAGAGTGTTGATATAACAGTGGAGGAGAGAGGAAGAGGAAGGTAACAAGTGCAGTGGCAAGAAAAAGTCCTCCTAGGCAGGGACCACAAAAGGGAATGAGCCACTGGCCTACCTGTGATCTCACTCTCCTCCTGAGCAGGGTGTTGACAAGTCTTAGCACCCAGTGGGCCAGAAAGCAGCAGCCTAATGGTAAGGGGTGAAGAGGAAAGGCTGTGTGCACAGGCAGGCTCTATGCTTATTGCACCCTGTCATGGACTATCCAGAAATGAAGCTTCCCATGAGGCAAAAGAAAGGTGGGAAAACAGAGATGTTCTCCCTTCCTGAGCAGGTCTGACCACCATATGGTGGTGAGAATTGTTGTCACCACAACTAATTCCATCTTGTCATTGCCCCGGCAGATGTCCTCAGGTCTGCAGGAACAGGGCTGTCTTTTTAGCAGCTGCAAAGAAGTGTGGTAAGAAATACGTGGCGAGGTGGTTACCTTTTCTTTTGCCTGAGAAAGAAGCATCTCTCAGAGGCTGAACAGTCTCTGACTCTGCAGGCTATTGGAGAGACAGTGACTCCCTTTTTTCCCCACTGTCACTCAATTCTGGATTACACCAAGGTTGATGAAGCTGACACTCACATGAAGCAACTAGTGCTTTGCGACAAAGATAGTAAGCCAAAGCAGAGCACCTATCTCATGCAAGCATGACCTTAGTGTCCAGAAGCCATTTGACATTCTCCTTTAAAACAATTCTACTTGTAATTAAAATCATCTGAAGTGAGGGTTTTGAACTGCTGGGCCTTAGGATTAGAGATCCAGAGGGACCAGTAAATCCATATGTTTTTCCTCTCTTGTCTTCTTTTATGTCCCTCTACAAAGAAGGGTTTTGCATGAGGTTGAAGGAGGGAACAAGAGGTTTTTTGTAGTTTAACCTTTCTGTTTCTAGCATAACATGGTCATCAGCCCCCATCTCTGGATTTCTGGATACTGCCATGGCCCTTACTCCCTGTGTTATGTAGTATAGGGGAGCCAGAGAGGCACACAGGCTGCTGCTATAGACATTTGTGCTGGAATTTGCATGGTCTGGCTCTGGTATGTCCTGGAGGCATGTTCTGTGTGTTGATTTGGAGCTGGTTTCAGCTACAAGCCAGACTTCTGATACTCCTATAGGCCTGGAAATCACCAGCATAGCAAATTCCTTTCTTGAGGACATATGCAGGGGACCAAGAGCAGTCTGGTGATCAGAGACACTGTCTTGGGATATGCTGATGGTCTTGCAGTGATGGCTTCTCCCTACATTTGGGCACAATTAGCTCTTGCTCTCTCTGCCTTTGCTGGCAGGTGCACCTATGTAAGAGTGCATCTATGGGAGGGGGCTTCCAGCATGCAGATGTTCAGGGATGCTATGGGTCTCTGAGTCTATTCATAGTGATACTGCTCACATTTCTGCAAAGTCTTGCCTTGGATGAGCTACCATTATATAACATTAAATAGGATTTTAAAGAAATGATAGATGAGATGGATTATTGATGCTTTTTAAAAATGGCCAGCTCTTCAAAAGGGTCCATCTTTCTACCCTTTATATGGAGGATTTAACTTCCATGAATTGAAACAGGGATTTTATTTTCCCTTCCCTTCATGTAATTCCTGATTATTAAGCAACCTCTCCTTATTGACATAGTATCTTTAGCTCATGCATCATTTATTGTTATCTGAACAGTTACTGGAAAGTGTCCCTGGGTAAGCTCTGGGGATGAATGGTTGCCTCACTAATGGAGGAAAAGCCTAACTACTTCCTAAATCAATTAACCTGAGAGGCCAGAAGACACGTCCAGGCTTCTCAAAGCACGTGCACGTGCTCACTGCAGTGGTCTCTGCTGTGGGTAGTGGCACAGTACCCACAAACATGCTCATTACTCCCTGTGTGGTCCCAGCCATGCTGATGGCATGTGGAACAACTTGGCATGTATACAGTCACTCCATGTATCCCTGCTGCTGCACGTGCACTCATAACTCACGGCTCAGCAACTACGGTTCTCTGCCTGCAGCTCACCAACAGGGGATGTGTGTCTGCTGTCTAGTAGGCAGCCCAGCTTTCAAGCTCAAGCCATAATATTTCATGCTCTTTTACACTACAAGTCCTCAATGTAACGGTGACCTCATACATGCATATATGTCTATGTAATGCCTCTTTGTTCCCACTCACTACATGGAGGAAAAGGCTAACTGCTGCCAGCTGACATCACTGCCATTAAAAGTATAGAGGAATTTGGCAGGGGTCATTATTGCTAATCATTGAAGTTCATCCCAGCGAGATACAGGGGTGTTGGACTGCAGGGCAGGACACCTGAATGTGGTGCTGCTGGTCAGCAAGCCACAAGAGTGTCCAGCATTGGGCACAAGCAGAGATTGCACAACACCTCCGTGGTTCAGGAAGAAGTGGGACAGGACACAGCACATGTTTCCCATGAGACGTCTGTACATCCTGCATGAAGTGAGAGAGAGAGCATGGATGCTGCAGCAGAAGAGTTTGAGAGAGGTAAACAGACTATGGATAAAGAAGATTCAAGAGAGGAAATAGTCTCGTAAGGAGAGTGAAGTACAAAGAACGGAGAAGTTGTGGGGTTTTAGAGCATTGGTTATGAATGAATGTGCAGTAAGATGGGCACTAAGTGGAAAGGCAAGAGAAAGGGATGAGCAGAGAAGAAGGTAGGAAAGCAGCTGACAAAATGAAGCCAAGACAACATGCTCATCTAGAAAGGAAGAAAACAACCAGTAATTACATTAGGAGACATACTGCACACTTTCTTCCAGGAGAGTGTCAACACCATGACTCCAAAGCTGGAGCACCTGGAGGTTGGTGAATGAAAGGGAGCAAATGGTGGCACAAGAAATTCTCTGTCCAGGAAAAAGAACATTGCTAGGAAGAGAGGGAGAGAAGGAAGGGAAAGACGCATATACACTGGGCACTAGGCTGGTGGAAACCGGGTGTGTCTCAGCCCCAACAGAAGCCAGTGCATGAGGCATTGGGAAGGGGAGGCAGCACTGGGACTGCAGCTGGCACCACTCAGGTCCTTCAGCTCAAACACCCCACAACAAATCCACATCCTTGTGGCCAGCAAGGAGTAACACACCCTGCACCTGGTGCACTGTGCCCCATGACTATGCAGTGGGCCATGGCCAACCCCAGGAGCTCCTGGGGAAGTAGCTCTCCTTGACACTGTGATAGAAAGAAGATCCCCAGCCTCATGGTGTGAGCGAAGACGTTGTTGCATACCAGGCTGAGAAAAACAGCAAGCCCTATTTCCAGGCTTGCACCACTGACTCTCAACGGACATGAAAGGAAGCTGAATCACCGTATTGCAATTTCAAGCTCCATTAAAGAAACATGGGGATGGGGATAGCAGACGGAAGGAGAGGGCAGGGAGGGATGAAGAGAAAATTGAACAGAGCAGAGTAGCACTTGAAGGGGAAAGAAATGTTGCTCATAGGCTCAGAAGGGGGAATTGCAAACAGAGATGAGATTAAAAGGGAACCCTTGAGACTGTCTCTTTAAATACTGCAAGATTCACTTAATCCATGCTGGGCCAGGCTTGTTGAATGCTGAAGGCACAGTCCCCGCTGAGGCTTGCCAGCTGATCGAGCAGTAGAAACCTATCTATCCCCATATACCAGCGAGTTGCCCTCTTTCACCTATGTTATCTAGAAGGTCTCATTGCTAATAAATTTCATGTGGAGTGAGCCTAGTGTGAAAGCTTTTTATTTGACTACCCTTAAGTGATCTTTTATGCAGGGACATATAGTCGTGTCAGAGTTGGTACCATGTGTCTGGGAGATCAGCATGGAGTATCTGGGTGAAGCTTTGCTTGGGCAGGGAGGACTGTCTTCACCTGCTGGTCCTAAAGGTAGGGAAGAGAGCTGCAGATAGAAGAGGAAAAAGTACAGGGTCTGAGAGCACTGCCCATGGTGGCTTTTCGTGGAAGAAGTTACCTGCTTCCAGAACCCGGGGACAGAGTACATGGGGTGGCTTTGGTGTGGGGGGAGGCAAGATGTCTAACCCCATTAGCTAGACCCTGACCCGTCTGCTCAGGGCTAGCTGCAGGACATTCACATTGCAAGTGTTGGTCTGAATGCAACCTGGAACCACTCTGAAAAGTCTTCGCCAGGTTTAGCCCCTTATCTCCCATAGGTGTATTTTCACCAGATTTTTCAATAGTTCACAAAGGTTAGCCAGGCACAGCGTTTGGGTGGGAGGCAGATGTTGAATTGCTTGTTGCTGAGATTGTCCCACAGGGGCTACAGGCTTCTTTCATCCTGTTCACTGTGAGGAATGGTGGTGCTGGTTGGTGTTTGTTTAAAGTCTGTTATGTGTACAGCTGGAAAAATGATGACCCAAATGAGACCTGGTCACCAAAGACACTCTTGTCTATGTCTGAAGCACAGCGTGTGTAATGACATTTACGCTACACCTCACCCCCTCTGCTGTGATTTCAGCTCTTATTTCCACATCCCACACCTTGAATTTTTATGGCCTAGCAACTAAAAGAGACTGAATTCTTTGGGACAGTGACTGGTTTCATTTTGCTCTGACAAATGCTGCTGAGGCTGAATAAATAGCAAAAAGAGGTAATAATGTAACAGAGCAATTATTACTGCATTTCTTAAGCTGTTGCTTGGCACTGCTCTGTGCCATTAGGTATCTGCCACATTATGCCTTAAGAAGCTCCTGGGTCTTTGGGGTGTTTGCTTTGCTGTACTCTCCTGGCTTCAGTTTTGTCCATACAACCCATGCAGAGTCTCTGGAGATGAGCAGCAGCTAAGGCAGATCACTCTCCATACTTTTCAGCTTCCCTGTGGCCATGCTGAGAGCTGAGCAGTTTGGCTGGGAGCCCACGGGCTGACGTTGAGAGCTGTTCCCCACAGACCGTGCCCACCACCTTTCTTCTGCAGTGTCGAGGCAGAGGGGTGCTGCCAACCCAAACATGAATGTGGCTCTTCTTTGTGTCTGGGGGTCCTGGCAGACTTCATGATGTGTCTCCTTGGTTTCTGGACAGCCTTTTGATACTGGGGGTGGTGAGGGAATGGCCAGGATCCTCTGTTAATCAGAAACAAAAGCACTCCTGCTTGGCCTCTAAGCCTTGCCTAAGGTTGGTGGATCTCAGGAAGTACCATGTTCAGAGGTGGAAATGTTAAGGTAGAAGGAAAGACTAAAACCTGCTGACCTAGAGACTCCTTTGTATTCACAGCAGTGCTTTTCCAAGGGAGTTTAAGCACACACCTTGTTCTCAGCTGCAAATCTCTGGCTAAATATTCCTTGCATCCAAGACAACTGCATCCTAATCCTTACAGAGGCCCGAGAGTGCTATTGTAATGCAAATAATGACAAATAACAGTAATAATAAAATGTCACCAGCACTTATGCCAGTTCCCGGGCAATCCCAAACCGGCTGTAGCAAGTATCATAGCACCAGGTTATGTAAAGGAGCATGAGCATTAACACTGGAGCTGTCAGGGAGGCGACCAATTAGCCAGTGTAGCTGCCTCCTGTGGGCAGCAAATCTTCCAGCGTGCCTTCACTGGCTCCCTGGGCTGCTCTGCAGGTACAGTGTCATAACTTACCCCAGCATGGGGGACTGTGGGCAGATGGATGCCCCCGTGCATCACTGGGGAGAGTGTGGGGAGTACATGACTCCTGGTACCTGTGCATTGGCAGGGGCATGCGATGTAATTAAGGCCCCTGTGATGAAGCACCTGTTCAAAGAGTGGTAGTGAATGTTGGTGTCATTTAAATTGACTTCAGATTAAAGTCTTCTATTCCTGTTTTTTTGACAGATAGCTCTTTGCAAGGTATGTGAAAACGGCTGCTGATATGCAGCAAGGGCTGGCAGGGCTGGCTGGGAGGGTGCAGGAGAGCAGAGGGGACCTCCCTGGTTCTAATCATAGAATCACAGAATGGTTTGAGATGGAAAAGACCTTAAAGCTCATCCAGTTCCAGCCCCCTGCCATGGGTAGGGACACCTTTCACTAGACCAGGTTTCTTCCCCCTTCAATGCTTCTAGGGGTGGAGCAGTCACAACTTTTCTGGGCAGCCTGTTCCAGTGTCTCACCACTCTCACAGGGAAGAACTTCTTATTGTCTAATCTAAATCTACTGCTTTGTAGTTTAAAGTTCCCCCTCATCCTGTCACTATATGTCCTTGTGAAAATGTGAAGGCCAGAGTCAGCAGGCAGCTTGCCATAAGAGCTGTGGGTACTATAACCCACTGCCCACTCAGGCTGTCCTTGGGCTTTGGCCAAGCTCTGCCAGCACACCATGGGCTCTCTCATTGGGCTGTTTGCACCTGCAGAAGGAAGGTTAGGGCAGCAGCTGGCTGAGGTTGGAGGTGATGCTAGAGTCAAGTGTGGACCACATCTCAGGTATTTTCCAGGAGGTCATGACCATTAGTGGCAACATCCTGACATGCTGTCTTGTCTTCCCTGCAGTCCCAGATCCTGATGCTGTGCTCTTCAGATCCAGTCCTTTACACTGAACTGGTGAGTATATGGAGGTAAGTGGCTTTATTTAGTAGCATTTTTATATTCTACATATCTCTGTTGCTTTTAGCAGTTGTTCTGACCTGGCTATCAAGAATAAAGTAATAAGAAATTGTGCTCTGGAGTCTGAGTGCCTCCCATAGGAGTCTCTCTCCTTGAGGGAAAGGAGTAGATTAAGAGAAATTAACATCTTAATACTTTGCCCTTTGGCCACTGATATCTACTGTTACAGCTTTAGGCAAGTTCAGCCTTCTTCACTCATTCAGTGCAGAGCAGCAGAAGGGAGCAGACAGATATAGGTATTTATTAAGAATCAGGCTTCTTGCTTGCAGCTTGTTCCAGCCCCACTTAAAAGAGCACGCAAATGGGAATATTGGGAGTCACTGAACCAATACTCTGTACTGGCTGTGATGTACTGTCAGGTGCTAGTAGGAAATGCTTAAAGAAGGACCATGTGGAGAGGGCAAAAGCAGACTGATGTGGCCCCAAGTAAACCTTCCAGGTTTGGGGCAATAGCCTGTTCCTGAACAAAGGGATGTGATTAGACCCATTGCTGGAATAGCTACACAGAGGTCTAGTGCCTTTGAGCCCATTTATAATTCAGAACATGAAGCTGGATTATTTCTGAAGGTACTATAAAACCAAAACCTGAGGAGATGTTTCCTGCCACAGGGATGCCTGCAAAGTGTAGGGGAGAGGTAAGAGATGACGCCAGGCAGAGGAGGAACAAGCACAAGAAGGAAGGCAAGGGGTCTGTAGGGAGCAGCATGATCTGCGGTAGCCTCAGAACAGCAACAGCTTGGGGTTTATGAAATATTTTGCAGTCCTCAGGTGTGCTGTAGTAGGGATTTAGAGGGGAAGGAGGAAGCAGTTTTTCAGATGTTTATGGGAAGCCTTCTCCAATGTGAGGGACAACATGGCAGAAAGCTTCAGTAAGCGTGTCTGAAAATATGACACAAGCTGATGGAGATAGGAGCTGGCATCCCTCTGGTGAAAGAGATGAGACGTAGGAGCATGGGAGGTGTAGATTCCCTCTTCTTTCAGATACCCAGGAGAGGTTTTTGGACACTGCGTGGATATAAGCATCTTTCCACTCTGGAAAATAATCAAGCACTCTGGGGAGTGGGTAGGAGAGAACTAGAAAATCAGACTGCACCTCCTTTCTCCACCAGCCAAAACCATCACTTTGAGGCCTCCCAGCAAGGGGAAATAGACTTCTGCTGTGTTTATCATGCATGATTGTACAGGACCCTTTAAGCCTGAAATCAGGATGAGGCGTGAAACTCATTTAAATAACTGGCAAAGGAGTTATCATGCATGTGAGCTCACGCAAACCCATGGCAAGACAGAGGCACTGGGTTAGAGTGATAGCAGGTCAAGACTGGTGGCTGGGGAGGCAGGGAGAGGAGTGAGCTGGGATGCACCTGCTGAAGCTTGGCTGACACCCATTCCCACGGGAAAAGTGTGTGCCTGGGGAGCTGCTCTGACTCAGCTCCAGCTGCTCAGCCCTGGCCTCTTTTGTGGTTCTCTCTTGCTCCTGGGCTGGGGATTTCAGTCCCAGGATCTGCCCATCAGAAACTGTAATGTAGCATGGCTGCTAAAATGTATCTCAGCCATCTTCCCGTTCAAATGAAGAGAACACATGGAAACACAAACAATGTATAGAGATCTGCTGTTACCAAGATGTCTGCAAACAAGGTCCTCCCTGTGCACACTAAGTGTGGTAATCAAAATGGGGAGGGCTGGGTCTCTTAGAGGCAACAGGATGAAGGCTTTTAAGTCTCCTCCTTGAATGTGTTTCTCCCCTAAGGGCAGCACCACTTAGTAGGCTTGGCTCTACCACAGACTGAGGTATAGATGTGTGTCTTAAGGATGAGATAAGAGAAAACTATTAGCTATTGGGATGGATCAGTGTGTAGCCCAAGGCTGCCTGGGCACCAACACAGTGCATGCAGCAGACACCTTGGGTCTCTTCAGTCCTGTTTTCTAACAGTATTAATTTTCCCCCAAGGCTAAAGTCACTGTGCTTGTAAACAGGGCAGCCTTGCAAGGAATGAGAGTACTCAAAATACTCATTTTATAACATCATTCCCAGAATTTTTGTTCTCTATTTACCCTGGCCAAGCAATTCAGGCCCCAGATAGGTGTCTCTCCCTCCCCAGATCTCTTCCTTGCTCCCCAGCCCTTCTTTTCCTGTCTGGTGAACAGCATTTTTGGGTCCTGTTGACCTATTGCAACTTGAGGAGCCATGGTGGGCTCAGGTACAGATTTGTGTATGGGAAACTGTCAGCCCTGGTGAGCATCCTAGGAGTTGTAGGGGACCCCGGAATGCCCACCTTGCCCAGGAGGGCTCCTGTGTTCCCTACCAAATGAGGTCTTGTCACATGCTGAAGTAAAAATGCCTGGAAGGACAACTTTGCTGCAGCTTTTCTTCATCCCTGTTTTTCTTTTTTTTTTTTTTTCTTTACCACACTTCAAATAATTTGACATTGCATATTTAAGACTCTTTTGTTGTATTCAGTTCACCTCATCTGACCTCACAATCTTCAGGATAATAGCAGATGAGGATGATAATATTCTGCTGGTTTACAGTGCCACTTTCAGCGACCCCATGAGCCCTTTAGCAATGGTTGCTTGTTAAGGCCTGCAAGCCATCTAAAGTGAGTTAATCTATTACTCCTGCTCTGTGTATGGTGAGAAATTGTGACTTGAACAAGTGAGCTGGACGGAGAGGCAGGACTTACAGACTTGAACCATGGGGCAGGAAGGACCCTGTGCTCTCTCAGCACCTATAGTGGCTCATATAGCAATGTGTCCTGAGAAGGGCCTCTGCCTGTAAGTAATCAGCACAAGTGCACGCAGGAGGTTAGGCTAAACTGAGAGGAGAGAAGGTCCCTGAGGAGCAGAACAGAAAAGGCTGCATGTGTGATAGTAGATAACAAGCTCCCAGGCTTTATCAACCAAAGATTTGTATCAACTGCTGTGAAAAGGATGGTGATGGCATAGTATATGTATTAGAAAAGAGGATGGTGAGTGGGAGCACGGATGAGCTATCAGGGGTCCCACATCGGGGGGCACAAAATCCTCCATTCCTAAAATAAATGAGGTTTTCCAGCTGCTGGCCTGGCCCTCCCTCCAGCACAACCCAGCTCTTGTCGGCTCTGGGGCTATAAACCCATGACCATGAGAGCCCCATCCCTGCACAGGGTGAGAGGCAGGGATTATACAGCTGGGCAGGAGAGGACACCCCTGGCTGTGGGTAGCCCAAAGGGAATGGCGAGGCTGCTGGGAGAGGGCAGGTCACTCATTTTCTCTGGGATGCCAGAGGCAAGAGCCATGGGAAGGGTGGGAAGAGCAGCAAAATGGTTCCCATCACCGAGAGTGGAGCAATTTGCTCCTGCCCCAGCTGTGTGACAATGATGCCTGTGCTGCAGTGTCCAAGGCTGCTGTCTACCAGGGTGCTGATGGGAACAGGGGGGCAGCCAGCAGTGTGGCTCTCTGAGGGGCTGTATACTTGTTTTTCTTCTCTGTGGCATTACACAATATGAGGTAGAAAATGTTTGTACAGTAGCTCTATTTGTCCTTGGGGTGAGGGGGGAAAGGAAGAAGGTGGTGGGTAATTTGAGGTTCTTTATTAGACCAATAAATCATTTATAATGTGCTAGCTTTCACGCCAGTCCCTTATTGCTTATGTCAGCCACAGTACGCTACATGGCGACTGAAGCTAGCAGAGCACACACACTGGCTCCCCTAAATCAGAGGGACAGAGCCAAGGTGCATGGAGAGGGCAAAGCTCTGATGCTGGAGGCAGGACCGGGGCTCACCATGCTGGTGCATGGGGGAGAGGACAGCTTGTCATTCACAGGTCCTGGGGACAAATCCAGCACTGCTGATGACAGGCACTTGGCCTTGTCTGAAGCGTGTTGTAGCAGCCCTGGTCCTCCTGGGATAAGGGGGAAGCATCAGGAGCTGTTGATACCTGAGGGACCAAATAGTGGCCATTGGCACCTGAGGCGCCACTGGGCATATCACCTAGACTCCCCATGTCACCTGCAAGCAGAGACAGCAGGCATGATACAGGGGTAATAAACCCTAATGCCCCTGAGACTTGGCTGGTGGAGAGCAGAGGACAAGGCAGGTTTTCCTGGTGGCACTCCAGTACAAGAGGAATGGGGATGTCCTACGCCTGTCATCTTTGTATTTTGGGGGTTTAGTGGAGCTTATTCCCTGTGGCAAACTATCTCTTTGGTTTCTTGGGTGATCTGGGCATCCGTGAGGGTGCTGAAGGAGAATATCACCTAGTTGGGAAGGACTGTGCTCACCTAGTCACAAGTGGGTGTGGTTTTGGTGGGGGTTTGTTTTTGGGTTTGTTGGGCTTTTTTTTGTTTTGGTTTTGATTGTTTTGTTTTGTTTTGGTTTTTGGTGGAAGTTCCTTGTTTGCCACGTGTGGAGACAGTGTTCTCACGGGAGAATGCATAATTAGTACATGAACTCTGAATAATCCTGAAAGATACAGCAAGGCCGTGAGAGGCCCGAAGAAGCTTAAGCAAGCAAGATAAGAAGAAGCTGGAATTCACTGAGTTAATGAAAACTGTGGACTGTTGGCAAGCTTTCGAGGTCAAGTTCTCACACCTTTGCTTAACCAATTATATGTTAGTCACTAAGGGTCTTCAAGACATGTATCCAATCATAATATGCCAAATCACTATAAGTGCATGTAAGAAATAGTATATAAGGAGTTAAGGCTTTGTAATAAATTTGGCAATCCCTTGATCACATTGATCGTCTCTGCGGTGTCCATGACTCCCGTGTCAACAGCCGCGTTTCACAGCTGTGTCTCCTTCAATTTGAGCTCATCAGGTTCTGCAAAATGATGCCTTTTCAATAGCCTGCCTGTGTTACCCAGTGCTTCAGAATGCACCAAGTCACCTAACATTTTGACAAACAACGCCTGTATCAATTTCTCTCCTCATCCTCCTTTCCTCCTCCCTTTCCTCCCCCCAGCAAAGGAACCAGCTTATCTCTGGAGTTAGGCAAACACAATAGAGGAGATGGATAAACTCTCCTTTCAGGTGAATTCACATGAGGGTGGGCTCCCAGGTCATCTGAACAAATATGATTCCCTGTTTAGTAACCAAAAGCATTTGAAAGAGGGACCACTGAATGGGCTGAGCATGTACTGAGCATGTACACCCTGCCAGTGTGCTGGGATTTGAAACCCCCTCGAAAAGCTGAGCAGCTTCAAAGGAACCTAATGGGGAGAGGTAAATGTAAAAATGCTAACAAATACCATCCCCTGTTATGAAATGCACGATTGGGGTGGGAGGGACTTGCATGGTATGTCTGTTTCTGTGGGATCTGATATAACTGTAAGCTCTTTACAATGTTCTTTTCATCCTTGTGGACTGCCTGATGGAAGCAGCAGCTAAAAGCAAATCAGAGGGTGAGAGGGTGAGTCTTGCTGGTGAGAATTAGTAGCATCAGGAGAGAAATATTGCACACCTAACCGACTGAATTATGCATTATGCTGCAAAATCCCCAATGTCAATACACAAATGCTATTCCTGTTGTTTTGCCTGTGATGATTGGCAGCAAAGAAATTCAAATCACATCCACACAGCAATTTCCTGCTGTAACTAAGTCTCTCCTATCCAGGCGGGTATGCTTGTGCAGACAAAATCTATGCAGTATAGTAGGTGCTTTAGGAAGAGGTTAAAAAAGGATGCTGAAAACACTTTCCTGTGTTCAGCAATACCAAATGTTGTCAGGTTAGCGTGTACTCACCCCTTTTGCTTGTGGGCATTGTAGGTTAGATGTTACCCCAGACCTTGGGAGGACTGGGTGAAGAAGTCCATACTGAGGCATTGAAAGTGATTTGAGGCACACATCTCCATGGAAGGACTTTTCTCTCCCCAAACGAGATAAGAGAATGGAAAACAGAGCCAAACTAAGTGTCATCCCCAATACAAAGGAGCAGTGGGGTCAGCACTACATGGCAGACTAAGAGGATTATGAAATTGCATGTAATAAATGGTAAGAAAATGACTATTTTAATGAACACAAGATTGTTAAAATCCCCTGCTATTGGATCTTGCCAGTGTGTTTGTAGAGAGAAGAGCAGATAACAAAGCTATCAAACAAAGCAGATAAAAACCCTACCTTTTGTTTGCTGCTTAAGTTGTCTTTGCATTGCTTCCAGAAGACATAAATCAGTTACTAATCACATTCCCCATTTGAGGTGCTGTGAGTGTTCATATGTTTAATCTGTCCTGGGTGCTTTTAGAACGAATTGTGCTAAGGTGAGGATGAGAGTTGCACAGAATTGTCTTGCCCTTATTAATACTTTTCTTTTCACAGAATAAGGCTGTGTGATAATCTGATTTTTTTTTTTTTCCTGCTTGGTGACCAAGTTAAAAATTTGGACTTGAAGAAAAGTGGGTATCTGAGGTTTAAAGTATCATTCCGTTTGCATTCTTTGGATGTCTCTTTCTCTTTCAGAACAGAAATTCCTCTTGAAATGACACCACTTCAAGATGTTTGGGAAACAACTAAGCAAATCAGAAAATGTTTTACCTGCTGAATTAGAATAGCTGCTGTAAAATGGTGGTATTTTATCCACACACTTCCAAGTGGAATAACCTAGCAGCCTATGGAATGTAGCTTATCCCAGGTTATGAGCTCCTTGAAGGATTGTGTTGTGGAAAACAAAACACAGATTTGATTAGATCAAAAGCAAGACCTCAAACACCTGTGTCACCACCTCTGCCTGTCTCCCTGTAGCTGAGCCTGAGGGGACAGGGATGGCAGGGCTTGCCAGGGAGCTGGGAGAAAACATGGCAACATTTCCCTTTGGGGAAGGTGAGTCTGCCTGCCATCATCCCTCCAGGGTGAGCAAGACTCCCACAGCCTGTGAGAAAGCCGTTTGCCCATGGGACAAATGGCTGCCAGGAGGGAGCAGGAGCTGGTCCCTGGTCTGGCACTAGGATGTAGACAAGGCAGGAAAGCAGCAGATGTGAGGGAAAGGAGGACTGTAGATCTGAAGCTGAAGCTAAATGGAAAGGACAGGGAGAGTGGAAATGATGCTGCCTTGTACCCATTCTGAGGTGCTGGAGGAGCCAAGCTAACAGAGGACAGGAGAGGGTATGTGCTGTCTGGGAGAGCTTGGGTACCATTAGCACTGTCACATAGACAACTTAAAATGAGCCTTCTGTTGGGAAGAAAGAGTTAAACCAATTCTGAGTCTTGCAAGTCTCTCAATCTCAGACTGTAACTGTTGAAGATCAGCAGCAGAGGATTATAAAGATAAGAGCAAGGGAAACACGCAAGAAGGAGCTGGTGGAGGATCAGACCACAGAGTAATAATGACAACTCCTCCCAGGCAAAGAAACTGAGGATAATCCCTGGACCAAGAAGCATGCAAATCATCCAGTGCTTTTCCTCGGACAGAGAGCATTGTCAATCTCCTTTCCACTCTGACGCTGTGAGTGTTAGCTGATGGGAGGATGCTGGAAGAGGGCCTGGGAGAAGCTCCCTCATGCTGCCCTCACAGAGCTCAGCACAGGAGTGGCAGTGGAGTCGCTGGCTCCCCTGGCATCAGGCAGCCACTGATGCTGCATGATGTCGCCCACAGTGCAGGCAGCTGCGACCTGGCAGCTTCTCACGTGCGTGTGTGCTCCTCAGCTGCTCCAGGTCAGAGCTGTCTTCTCTCATTTCAGGTGCTTCGCCAGGCGTGCTGAAGAGACAGGAAAAGATGGGGCCATCCAGGTTCACCTACAGACTTCCTGCTCAAACGCGCTCTCATGTCCTCAGCCATTGCTGCTTCAGCAAGTGCTCTGCCACATCCTTGCCGCTTGGCTGCTCAGGAGCTACCAAAGGGGTCTTGCTAGCAGGTCCTCCAAGTAGGCAGTGATGAGCTGAGGGCATGTTTCAGGTCTGTGTTTGCAAGCAGGAGATGATTACAGAAAGCAGAGCCCCAGGCTTTGTGTTCATGCTGGCTGCTTCTAAACACCAGTGTTGCAGGTGTGCCACTGCACCACTTCCCAGCTCATTTTTCAGTCCTTGAGCTGGACCCTATATTCACCTTTTGCAAGGCAGTTTTTGACTCTGTAGGTAACCTGATTTCACTGTAAGGATTTGTGCAAGGAGTCCTGTGGCCTAAATAGGGCTGCAAAATGACTATTTATGCAGTCTATTTCAGGATCTGACTTCTGCCGCTTAAAAGCTAAGGGGTTACAGGGACATTCACATGGGCCAGCAAGAGTAACCTGTTAGGCTTTTCTCAGGATCTGGGCTGACTTTCTTGCACCTTTCAGACACAGCATAAAGACTCCATTGTGGAAAGTTTGGAAGGTGGCACTGAGCAGAGGCAAATCTGCAGGTCTAACTTGGCCATCTCCCATAACCACAATAAGATGGAATCGTTTCCCATTACCCCAGGGTGTGGCAAATTAGTGACTTTGATAGCACCTGGAAAGTAAAGGAAAGTCAAAGCCAGGTCTGTGCTCACAAGCAAGGGAAGAAACAACCAGAGCTGAGTTTCAGGCAGTTGAAGCATGGAGAAGGGATGAGCGGAATAAGCTGCCCTCTGCTGCAGGCTGGCATGCTCGCACATGCTATTCCCTATCCAAACTTCAGGGTGCTTGGCCCCCTTGTTTTCTCCCCAGGAGAGACAAGCCCAAAGGGAGTGAGGCTTGCTGGGATGAAAAATGGCTTCTGGTGGTGGACCTGTCCTGCTGACCATGGAGGATGTGATATCTGGGCCAGGAAGAGGGCAGGCACTCTAGGAAGAGGGGGTCTCATCCCTGCATCATACACCAGAAACAGCATGGGATTTGTGCTCTAGCCTCAGAGCCTCCAAGATCCGGAGCTTTCAAGCAAGTGGAGTGCAGCAGGTATTTGCCCCTCTGTTGCCTCCTACTGCAGAGTATGTAAAAATCGTGGGACAATCCCCTGTATTTCTGGCTCCATCGCTTCTTGTTAGAAGTGTTTTTTTGTTCTAGTGACAGTCACACTACGTCCAGGAGTGCATGTAGTGTAGGAGAGTCAGGGGCATGGTAATTACTGGAAGGGCTATGTGGATTTGTTTGGGAAGAGCTGGAAAGGCCAGAATTGTGGACATAGCTGGGATGCTTTGATCCAGGTGCTTAGCAGAACAACCCTCCAGGCTGTCACATCAAGTGGCACAGAGCATGGATGCATATCGAGAGCCTTTTCCAGCAATCCCCTTGTGCAAATGCTAAAACCATAAAATACTTCCCGAGGACTGTGATCTTGCAGCAAGGATTTGCTCCACTCCACTTCCCTTTTGCAATGTGCTTTTTTTTTGTCTTCACAAAAGGTTTCCTTGGCAAAAGGGAGCTGCCAGCTGGCCAGACCTAGCCAAGGGGCTAATGGAAGTATTCAGCTGTATGCAGTTGCACCAGCAAAATTGTCTATTCAAAGAAAAGTCATAGTTTTGACTCTGGTTTTTCATCAGGGTTTATTACTCTAGGACCACTGCCAATACAAACTTTTCTAGCTAAAATGAACAAAAAAAAAAAAAATCCTAGCTTGCTTTTCATATGCTTTGAAAGCATCCCTCATCCTGGCTGGTACCACTGCTGATTACCCCTCTCTTCACTCTTTTTTGTCCAAGTGGTCACTGACTTCTCAGTGTCACTTTCCTCCTTTCATCACAATGGTGACTTACCCATTTCATTAAATTCTTATTTTTAAATGATGAAAGCATTTTAATTCCTGATGGCTTTAATAATATCACTGCCTTTCTACCTCCTTCCTTTTTTAAACCACCTCTAAACCTTGGGAATGGAACTAGCTGACAGGTTTCCTTTAATTATCCTCGCTCTCCATGCTCATCTCTTCCACGGTGCCTTCAAGGGACACCACTATGAAAGGTGCTACACACACAAGCAGCACACCCAAATTGAAGCAGAGAACAAAAAACAAAAAGTCAAGAAATCCACCCTTAAAGAAATTAATAACAAATACAGCTGGGCACATTTCATAAGCCCTATTAGGCAGTACTGCTCAGATACCATGGTGATGAGCCTCCTATAAATATTTCCACAGCAGTAAAACTGTCTTAAAGGGACCACACAGCAGCTCATGCGCATCAGGAAGGAGCATTTCTCTGGAGGACCCTCTTGTCTTGTCCAGACTGCATGGCTGACATAAGCCACATGCCTAAGGAGGAAGCCACCACCATCTGCTTTTCTTTTGCCTGTCAAGAGCACCAAGAACAACACAGCCCTGGTGTTATGCCCATAACTCTGTGATTTGACCACAACATATTGCTAGGGACAAGGGGGTGGTCTACACTTTACTATTCAGCAGTCTCTCAAAGCCAAGGAGCCAGGCGAAGCAGACTTTAGCTGTCCAAATCCTTTAGCTGCTCCATCACCCAGCCTGAGCCTTCACAGGGCACAGCCACAGGGAGGAGCTTAAAGATATGGCTTGTAATGGAGCCAGATGTGTACTTCCCTATTCTCCCAGAGGCAAATGTTTGTGGAGTAGAATAACACCTGATCAGGTTGCTAGGATTTCAGGCGCTCCTGTTCACAGATCCAGGAGCTGAGCATGAGGGACAGGGAGGAGGGAGGGGAAGAAACACATGCTCAGATGTTTAGGTTTCTGCAGCCAACTTCTGCCCATGCTGCAGGAGAGCTTTGAGTTTCTTGCCCTTGATGTAACCACCACCAGAAGTTTGTTTTCGCAAAACCTTCTCATCTTGAAAGCTACAACTCACACATCAGTACCTCATCTGAGAAGAAACAGTAACCCTGTTATTAAGCTGTGGGCAGCAGCACCTGGAGGGTGATTCTTCACACACCTGCTGCTGTTCATAAATAGATGGGAAACTTCATATTGGAAAATAATTTTCAAAGGACAGCAGCTCCAGTGGAATAATGGATGTAAAAATAGAGAAATGATCCTGTAGAAAAAAGCTGACCTAGCCTTGGTGCTGAGGGTCCAATGCATGGTTGCTTTGAGTGACTGTATAGAGGAGCTAGAAACCACTTGGAGCTGCTACCTCA